ACCTGTTTTAGCAACAAGAGATTGCCCTAGCAGGCGCTGAACTGACATTTTTCTGAAGTCATAAAGTCAGAGAAACGCACAAGCTTGGTAGCTACCCATCTGAGCTCAAGAGCACATGCCAATGTCTCGAAGAAAGCAAACCATCCCACACAATATTCAAGAGCAAAGCAAGATGTCACTCACAAAAGATGACACAAGAGCAACCGATACCCTGAAAGGAGAAGGGCTCATGGAAAATCCTGACACAGAACTTAAAAGAGAAGTGACTGAATATTTCCAATGGATGAAAGACAAACTTGATGAATTAAAAGATGTTACAAGCAAAGACCAGGAGGAGTTAAAAGAAACAATGCAAAACATTGCAGAGAAAACAAATAAGGCATTAGCGGCACTGGAAAAACAAGAATCCACCATTCAAAATGCAATGTTCTTAAGGATTGCATCTTAAAATTCTTCAAAATTGCATCAAAAATCCTTACCACTGAACTCTTTGGCATAGTAAGGTAGTATTTGAAAAAAATGTGTTAATTGAGGGCAAAAAAGACAAACAATAGGGAGTTGTGGTTCTACTCAAAGTTATGTGTGCCTCTCTGGTGATTCAAAACCATCAGATGCTCTGTGTAAGAAAGATAAACAACCTCTTCTCATGCAATTTACTCACTTTGACAACCTGCTAGAGTGTCAACTATGAGTCATTTCAGGCTATACAGCAGTGCGTTTGAGGTTTTGAGTATTATTGATTAGTGGCATGGAGTGGATATTATAATTAATACTGAGATGAGTGATGACGCTCTGTAGTTTGTGTTTTGTAAATGGATTTTTTAAAAATTGCCATGTGTAATGATTAACTTTATAAAACACAATTTATATGAATGTCATATCAAACACAATGTGAATGAAGGAATGTATGAAACACAGTTTACATGAATGAAACACATTGTATAAGAATTTTGTGTGCAAAGCAATATGAAAAAAAGGTACCTGGCTAGGTATAAAACTCAGTCTTTGAACATCTAAAGTTGAGTTCAAAGTACTAAGAAGATAATTCTAAATTTTTAAGGTCTTAAACTGTAGCTTTCCCTGTTCTTGTCCACTGTTAATTCACAACTGGCTCATAGCTGACCCTCCAGTGAGCTTTTTTAGGCTGTAAATTGTAGGAAAGGAGATTTCCAATTTTTCTCTCAGAGCAACTGGTGTATTCAAACTGCATGCCTTTGGGTTGATAGTGCAAGTTTTTACCCATTAGGTGGCCAGAAGTCACTTGCTTTCTGTATGCAAGTAGAAATCTGAAGTATATCACTTGCTTTCATCAATAAAAGAATATCTTTTTATGGTTATAGGAAAACCTAATATATTACACTTAACAAGGTTAGCAAAATAATTAATGAATTTTATAGTGACTATTGCTTTGTTGTTGTTATGTGCTGTCAAGTCACTGGCAACTCATAATGACCCTATGTACAACAGGCCTAAACCCTGCTCTATCCCTTGCCAATCTTATTGTCTCTGACATGCCTATCCCCATTACACTAGTGGCAGAATCTATCCATCACAGCAAGGGTCTTCCTCTCCTGTGCTGTCTCTCCATGCTCCGAAGCATGACGTCCCTCTCTAAAGAATGATCTCACCTTGCAACATGACCAAATTATGTCAGATGGAGCTTCAAAATCCTTGCCTCTAAGGAGCAGCCTGGCTTCACACTCTCTAGGATGAACTTGTTTGTTGTCCTAGCAGTTCATGGTATATTCAATACTCTTTGCCAGTGCCAAAGTTCAAAGGCATCAACTCTCCTTATATTATCCTTAGTCATTGTCTACCTCTCTGATGCCACTCCTGCTTCCAAGCTTGTTTTAATTAGTGAGCTCCACCAAACTACTGTCCACCATGAGTAACCATTATCGCATTTGATGCATCAGTGTCACAGTGTTTTGCATCACAGCAACCATGAGTTACCTCTGTATGGAAAATGGACAGACCGATGCTATACCACTTAGAAGAATGTTTAACCAAAAACAACTTATACCAGGCCTGAGGGCCACAGCCTCCAGAAATTCTAAGAACTTGGAGAAATAATGAAAGTTATACAATTGTTCAGGTCTTTCATTCACAGGATCTCTATGAGTTGTCTACAACTCGATGGCAGTTAACACCACCACCACCAACATAGAGTATTTAGGCCTGGTGGATAGAAGTAGACCAGGATAAAAAAAAAATTTACTTAGAAAACCAGTAGAATAACCCACATATTTTAATATATAAAAATATGAATGTAACATATCATTCTATATAAAAGTATAATTTAGGGTATTATATGAATTATGCTAACACTAAACAGTGAATAAACATGACTGTAGAATCTTATGCTTTTAAATTGTAGTAATGACAAAGAATATTGTATATCACACAGATACCAAAAGAACAGGCAAATCTTAGAGAAAATGCAACCAGGATGTGTCCAGGCAAGGATGGTGAAACCTCATTTCTTTTTCTCTGGGCATGTTGTAAAGGTGGGTCAGTTCTTGGAATAAGGCATTGTACTTGGACAGGCTAAATGTCAAAGTAAAAATAGGAAGGCCCACAGCAAGATAGACTGACACTTTAACAATGAGTTTAGCTATGTAGGACATCAAGAAGATGACATGGTTCAGGATGAAATTCCAATCTGTGTTATTCATGAGGTCACTCTGAGGTATACTAACCTCAAAGGTATGAAATGACACCTCAACACAGAATATTACTCTGTCAAAGAATTGGGAGGAATATTGCATATGTCTGAACTGAATTGAATGGTATGTATTAAGAGCCATATAGTAAAGTTTGGACAATTCTGTGACTTCAGAAGAAAGTTATGAGGCTCGACTTGAAGATTTCTTTGGAGCTCATTAAAATATGTGAAAAATTTATGACAAATATTTCAAAACTGAAAGCATAGCTATCATTGTATTTATGTTGACTGGGAAATGTGGGCAATAGTCTTACTCAAAGATACTGATTAAGGGATTTTTGGTGGTAAAAGATGCTCGGTAGGCATATTTAATAATTAATGGTTATGCTTTTGCTTAGAAAATAGTTTTTAAAAGGATAAAAATAACCAAAAGGCATTGGTCTGATCTTAAAATGCTCCAATGGTGAATTTATATGGAGAACAGGATGTATAAGGATTTTATAGGATAGACTGAATAAAAGCAAAGTTCCCCTTGGTCAGAGAAGAATTTAGCATTCAGAAAATGGGATGACGGAATACTCCTGTTGTGCTAGAAATAAATCTTGATTTTAGGGCAGCCATTGATTTTAGGTGGTGTGGTTTGGCTTGGATTAAATATTTTGGGTGTAGGAATAGGTGTGGGAGAAATAGTTGCCATTACAGGTCAGATAAATACATACATACAAACATACATACATACATACATACATACATACATACATACATAAAATCATATGCTTTTCCATCAAGCCAGAAGCCAATTCTAGCTGACATTTAATAGGTTTTCAGATTCTGTAATTGCAGGCAAATTTAAAATAAAATAAAATAAAATAAAATAAAGAGCCTGTATATCTTTCTCCCACCTACCTACTGGTGGATTTGAACCACCAGGTAAATATTGTGTTTGGTTTTGCAGCACAACTTCCTATGACCTATACCAGAGCTCCTGCCAAGTACTAAGGAAACATCTTTATGTCTGCAAAGTTTCCCTCAAATTTATACATATTTTTTAAAAACAATTCATGAGTCCCCAGGAATAAATGTAACATAAACTTTACTCTGTTTCCAAGTTAAGAATGAACTGGAACTTTTAATCTGTTTTCTATTTTTTTGTTCCTACCATCCTCATATATAGGCTGGAGCCAATGTACTTCTTCAAGATGTTAATGGAAATATTCCATTAGATTATGCTGTAGAAGGCACGGAATCAAGCTCTATCCTATTGACCTATCTGGATGAAAATGGTAAGCAGAATCTTTGAAACACTGTGGGAGTAAAAAGATTAAAAGGTAGAATATGAAAGTATGTTTAGTTAGATATTTATTATCTTATAATTTCAGATTGATGTTGGTTCTGATGTTCGTTCTTAAGGTTATGTAAAATAGGTATTTTTCTATTAAGTCTTTCATTGCTGTCTCTGTAGTTCATTGTTTGTTTATACAGTGGAATTCTGCAAGCTATCAGGGATCTAGAGGGCAACAATGAAGGAACATTTTAACAAGCATTTTTAAATCCATAATTAGTAAGACTGAGTTTGTAATTATGGCCTGCTCTCCGTTGGGAGGGGAGAGGAAGTGAACCAGGACAATTGAGTTTTGAGTTAATGAGAGGAAGGTTATTTAGAATATACTTTTTTAGAAGCAGATAGTTCTGGTTGGAATTATACATGACTTAGTTAGGGTTAGGAGATCGCTAACTAGAATGTTGGTGGTTTAATTCTACCAGAAGCTCTGAGGGCGGGGGGGAACAACAAACCCAACAACAAAGATTACATTCCCTAGAGTACAACCTTGGCAATGTCGCAGGGCAATCTAGCCTGTTTTCTAGAATCACTGGGAGTCAGAATCAACTGAACAGCAGTGGGTTTTGGAAGTGAGAGTGCAAAGTCAAGGACAATCTCTACAGCACCCTGAATCCATTCCTTAAAAACGCAAATGTCAAAAGAAACCTCATGATCATGGTGCTAGTGTGTAAAGATGAGACCGAGCCTCCAAATGCAATAGCTGACAAAAGAATGTTTAATTGCATAGAACCCAATGTGTAATTTTATGAGTAAGTCCAGCCTTGGGAAAGTAAGACATCTTAGAATTCCTGAGTCAAATATGATATTAGTGTTTTCTTCTTTTAAAAACAAAGAAACCCACAATTTTTTTAAAATTCTGCTGTTTATATAGAAATACCAACAGAAATTCCAATCCCTTTAAATATATAATTCTTAATCAGAGCAAACGTTTCAATTTCTCAGAGCCTTGCAGTGCTAATGAATCTGACCTTCATGCCTCCAAGAAAATCCTTTGTGTCTGCCTGTCTTATTGTTCCCAGTGTTCTTTACCTCCTCCACATCATCTTTTTTTAAAAAAGGTTTATTCTGAGAATGGCTTAGAATAATAATAATTAGTACTTAGCAACCATTTTCTTTAAAAAAAAAAAAAGCAGCCTCATTAACTCTGAAAGCAAAGTAAGTGTTGCTGTCTTCATTCGGAGAAGTCGAGAGCTGCACTTGTGCTGAGGAAAGACCTTATGTCAGGGCTGCAGTACTAGAAGGAGGCACTGGGCAAATCCTGAGTGGTGTATCCCATCATCCACTTAACCTGTGCTCTAATACCCCTTCCTATCCTGTATAAGGGATTGCTGTCCCACATTACATCAGAGAGAATGAAGTTATGTGGATGTCACTGTTGGGATCCTTATTATTTGGTCCTTTGCCAATTTTATGGAGTTGTGAATTTTCATGAAGATCTTGGATGCGATTTGGTTAGTTGAACAAGTTTATAGTTATGCTGTCTGATTTTCATGTTTTTCTAAAATTCTAAAAGCCATGAATATAAGTATGTTTTTAAGTGAACGACATAGCATGCTAGTCCCTTGTTGGACACATATTTCAGTGCACCCCCGCTAACAGAAGCCTTGAAAGAAACACCTGGCTATAGACTTGGGGAAAAAAAAAACACAGCAAAAACCCAACACAAGAAAACCAACAAAACCCAAGCCATTTAATGCCATGTGGAGCACAGATATACTCTCAACTACATGGAATCGCTTTGAGGAGTCAACTTTGACTTTGTAGCAGCTGATTTTTTACTTGTTTCAGATTTTTCAAAAGAATGGAAATTATTTTACACTGTTCCAATTCAGTAAATAATGTTATTTGATAAGAATCTGTAGTTTTAACAAAATCAGTATACTTTTTATGAATAACAACAGCAACAGCTACAAACATGTAGCTGTATTCCTTTGAGAAGAGGACTTTTTTTAAACACTAAGGACAAAATATGGAGGTGTTGGTCTGAATGACCAGGAGAAAAATCTGTCATAACTATGGTTGTCATAGTCAGTTTGAAAAAACATGTTTGCTGGAACAAATTCAATTTAATATCTCTTAAATTTTTTATTTTGTTTTCCATTTGTCACTGCTGTCACATTGGCCTCTGCTTTCCTATCCATCTGCTGCTTTTTTCAACTGATTCCCAGTTAGGCTCTGTTTATGTCAGTATCCCTCCTACTAATCTGAATTATCTGTTTTAGTCTCTAGTAAGTAATATCTAATTTAATTTATTCACCAGACCTCATATTAGCATTGTTTTCACAATCTGTTGTAACACTATGCACTGATGTCATCAGAAATTTCTAATATTCTGAGATGAGATTTTTATTATTATGTGGCTCTTAGTATTTCAGCACTAGGTTATTACAAGTATAAGATCTCAATCTTTGTATTTTCACTAAGAATCATACCGTTTCAAGTCAGAACACTTATCACTTTGTCACATCAGGATGCTTGTGACAGGAGGCAGGCAAGGTCCTGAACAAGTTGATTGCATGGAAAAGCTCTGGTCACAGGTTATAATTGTACTGTCACTGCCGACGTATAGTGTAAATTTGAGCACAGCAATTAACCTCAGCTCACCATGGAGCCTCCCATCCTGTAAAATGAGACAACCGTGAAGGGCTGATTGAGCATTTGATGCATATTGGAGTGCCACTGCAAGGTAAACCAGCTGGCAGTCTACGAAAGCAATTGATTATAAAATGAACTTGCAAGGCGAGAAGGCACTGCCATGAGAAGCTTTGTTGGCCCCAGGCTAATATTTGATGTGCGGGGGTGGGTGGGGTGGGTGAGAAAGAAATACAGATATGTGTAAAAACAAAACAAAAAGGAAGATGAAAAAAACAAATACAGCATGACTATGAGAATGTGATCACCTACTGTCCTAGCTCCTTCCTCTTAGAGAATGTTGTTCATCCCCCTTGATACTGGCCTGATTCTTGGCAAAGTATACAGGATGAACAAAGTGCTGGTCCTGGATCATACCTACAGTAGGTGGTGGATATAAATATTTATTCATAGGCTTCTCATTGAGTGCTTTTTTAAATAAGACACTAGACTTTTAGAGGGGGGGGGAATGCTCCTGCGAGGTGCCAGAAGTAGATTTTAATCTGAGAGATCCTGTGAATGAAACCCTGTTCTGTTCTGTCCTGTCTTGGATGAGTCTCATGTTTATTCTCCTGTTACCTCTTGGTGGACTCCACAAAGTAAACCGTAGTCACCACCATTCTCTAAAATGCCTCCATAATTACCTTCCTTAGTTCTCCAGCAATTGCTCACTTTTCTGTCCTGATAGATTTTCTCATCTCCCTGTGTGCTGTATGGTACCTGCTCAATCCGGAAAACATTTTTTCCCTAGTGTCATCTTTTCCTCTTTTATTTTGGACATTCTACATAGTGTTTTTAAGACCATCTGTGGGAACTCCCAATACCCAAAAGGTTAATCATTTCCAAGGATTTGTCTTTGATTATGTTCTTGGGGTATGCCATCCTCTTCTGTAAGCTCAGTAACTAGTCTATTTTCAAAATATGCTTCTAATTGAGATATCTTAGAGATCCTTCAATTTCTTTTTATTTATAGTTTTATTGACTATGTAGATATGGCTTAGACAATAATCTTCAGTGTGCAGTTTGTTACTTTCTTGAACGAGGAATTCTGGTGGTCTAGTGGCAAGAAGCTGCACTGCAATCCTAAAGGCACATGGTTTGAGGCCACCAGCTGCTCCATGGAAGAAGGATGAGCAATCACCTCCTGTGTGATTAACTGCCTCTGAAAACATGCCGGAGAGTCAGCTAGGGATTGGTTCAGACTCTATGGTACACAACAAAAACAACATGAAATCACTGAGGAGAAAGAATATTTTACCTACAAGATCTATGATGATAGTTATAGAACAGGGTTCAAGTCTTTTGTTAATAGTGTCGCTATGAGTTGTACTTAACTCCATAGCATTTAACAAAAATAACAAGAAGAGCTATAGAAGTTTTTCCATAAATGATATTTCAGCTAAGCATTGTTTTTCTTGTTGTTATATGCCATTTAGTCACCTGTGACTCATAGCAATCCTATGTAAAATTTCTGTGAACCCTGTCCTATCCTGAGCCCATCTCACTGACTCCAACATACCTTACCCCTTAACCCCAGTTAATCTATCTAATTTGGGTTATCCCTCTCATGTGCTGTCCCTACACACTTCTAAAGACAGTGTCCTCCTCCAAGGATGGTCTTTCCTGGTCATTTGCCCAAAATACATGAGATGGAACTGTAAAATTTTTGCCTCCAAGATGAAACTTGAAGACAGGCAGACCTGTTTATTCTCTTGTCAGTTCATGGTATGTTCAATACTTTTCTTCAGCTCTACAACTCAAAAGCATCGATGTTTCTTCTATCATCCTTAGTCATTCCGCTGTTCTCTGATGCATAGCAACTAATTGCAAAGATTATGACCTGGATCAGGCCCACCTTAGTCTCTTGAGTGACATTGTTGTTCTTCAGTACTTTAGAAAACATTCACTAAACATCAGGTAGACAATTGTAGTTTGTTAAGGAAATTTGATGGTTCAGAGTGATCTAGCCAGAGTGAGAATCATTTGCAAAGAGAAAGAGGTAAATAAAGCATAAAAACCTGGTTAGGATGCTATTTTACTAAAAATACAGAGATCATGAAAGCATTAAAATGGAACATAATATTACTGTTCTTAGGTGTCATCAAGTTGTTCATGACTCATAGAGACACACTATATACAACAGAACTGAGCCCTATCCTGTGCCATCCTCATCATCCCTGACATACTTGAGCCCATTGTTGAAGTCGTTGTATCTTTCCGTCTGGTTGAGGAGCGTCCTCTTTTTTGCTGACCTCCATCTTTCCAAGCATGATTTTGCTCACCAAGAAACAGCTTCTTCTAGCAAAGTAT